AGAAATGATACCTATGAACGTAAAAACTTGTGTGCTTGTGTGTGATGAAAATTTGAACTTATAAAAGTGCTGTTTTTGCTGGATTTTTTGTGAGTTATGAGTCAAGCAGAGGAGAGGTGTTCAGGCAGGGACTCATCTATAAACTTGCTGGGTTTGGTTCTTTGATGTGAACTGGTAGTGAAACCCTTTAGAGTATGTAAGTAGTGTTTAATCTTAGGTATTGTTGAGAACATGCATACTCTTTATCATTAAAGTTTAAGGATCTCATTAACTATTGGAATGTGCCTCGGGATTTCACATGATGTGTATGAAGGCTGACTACGACTGGGAAAACTGAAATATTATAAGCAATGATTTACACCTATCCAGAGTTTGCTTCAAAGATATATCGGTATCCAAAAAGGTTTTGAAATGACAAAAAATACTACTTTCCGTCAAAATCAGTTAATAAATCTTTTAACTAAAATGGTATTATCATATTCTATCTTTTAAGGTTTGTGTATAAAAAAAAAAGTTAAAAAAATTGCATTAATAAAAATATTAAAAAAATCTGCCCAAATCTCTTATCTTTCGTCTTCTTTCTTTCGTCTTCTTCTCCCCGGGGGGTTTAATTTTGATTTTTTGTGTTTTAAGGTTTGTGTATAAAAAAAAAAAAAAAGTTAAAAAAATTGCATTAATAAAAATATTAAAAAAATCTGCCCAAATCTCTTATCTTTCGCCTTCTTCTCCCCTTTCTCTTTCTCTGTATCTCTTTTCCTCCAGTCACTAGGCAAGAACCCGGCATCGGAATATGGCTAGATCGAAAGCCTCTCTCCTCTCTCTCTTCCCGTCTTTATCTTCTTCATCTCTCTCATAAAAGGGCAAAAAAATGGGGTCTTTTGCAAAGCTTTCGCACTTCCCCACCCATTTTCCAGAAGCCCCATCACCGAAAACCTTTCCTCTCCCCGCCAATCGTCTTTTCGGTGTGCCCTCTCTAAAACCCCCATTTTCCCCGCCGTCATTTGCTCACATTTCACCGCCCATTGAATTCCTAGGGTTTTTGTTGTTTGTTGAATTGGGATTGATTGGTGTTTTTCGGAGTTTTTAATAGGAAATTGATGGTTAGAGATTAATTGGGAGTGTTTTTTTTTTTTTGTGTTTTTGTTTGATTTTTGGGGATTTCTGATCGGTTTTGGCATTAATGATTGATTTTCCAAGTTTTGGTACACCACTTGTTTGAGGTTTTGGCCCAAACCTTCTTTGTCTTGCGTGTTTTGGTTCTTTTGAGTGTTTGAGAGTGATTCTTTGGGATTTTTTGCATTGAATCTTTTGGTGATTTGAGTGAGGTTTTTCGGGGCTTTGGTCGTTTTTGCTGCTAGTTGTCCTGTGGTTCAGGCGAGAGATGAAGAAGATGAAGACAAGATTTTAATTAAAATTAATTATAAAAATAAAATAATTAAAATTGAGAAGAATTATTTTTGTAAAATTAATATTAAAGAGAAATTGGGCAGAGTGATATATTTTTTTGTTGGATATAAAATTACCATATTATCCTTTTTTTTAACTAACTTTACTAACAGAGTTGGACAGAAGGTAGGTAATTGACGTTTTCAAAGTGTTTGGGTGCCACATTTCTTTATAGTAAACTATGGGTGGATACATATCATTCAGCCTTGTTAAAAAAAAAGGGGCATTATTATCTAAAAATTTTAATAATTAAGGATAAAATTATAACAAAATGAAGATCATTAAGTAATCTTAAAATATTTAAAAAAATAAAATTATTTAAATTATTACTTATATAATCAACAACAATTTTTAAAAGATTACTAAAATCTTACTATGACAATAACCTCGAACCAAACAATCCCTCATAATATTTGATTTGTTTTGTAAGGGTCTTACATCATAAGGCTTACTTCCATAAGGAGGCCACCCTGCTCCAGCCTCCAGCTGGAAAGCTAATGCTTTTTTGATTATTCTTTTTCTTGATCCTTCATCTTTATACTTTAAGTCTTTAACTTTATTTTTTATTGATGCTCACATAATTGGAATATATTTGCCATTAAATTATTAGCAGTAGAGTAAAGATACCGAAAAAAAAAAAAAATTAAAGTAAGGAATCGAATAATAAAATAATAAAGAATCGAAAAATATGCATGACTCTGTTTGGTTCATTATTATGATGGTTTTTAGAATAGTATTTTGAAAAAAGTTAAATTGGGTGGATATTACGATGTAGAATTTAAAAATTAACAAAAACATCTCCTATGTTTGTTTATTTACTAAATACTCCTATAATAAAATATTAAGAGTTAACAAAAACATCTCTAACGCACCTATTATATACGGACAACCGGCCACCATCATTGGAGGGTGATCGGAGTATTTTTGTAATTTAAAAAAAAATATTTAGGAGTGTTTAGTTAAATTAATAAATTTAGGAGATTTAAAAGAAATTAAAAAATATAAAATAATATTTTAGAAATAATGATATTTTACTGTTTAAATTTTTTGGGAATACTAATAACAGTATTCCAAAAGCGAAACCAAACAGAGTCATCAGACTCGATCTCATAAAAAAATCTGAAGACAAAACGACCGGAAAGCCGCAATGGGCCCATGTGCTTTGTTTTGGTTATTGTTTGATTGTCATTATCATTATTTTTGTTCCGATTTTTAAAGCAATCTCTTCATCCCTTTCCTCTCCACTTTCACTTAACCACTCAAAAACATTTCAACTCTGAAACCTCTCTCACCCCTTCAGAGACCACTAAAAATCCTGTTACTCTGAAACCAGATCGCTTGATTTTTCACTCCTCTCCCGTTCCTTTATTTCTTATTTATTGTTTAAAAAAAAAAAGAATCCTTTCCCATTTTCTTATTTTTCGTTTAGGAAAAAGAACAAAAAGATCTTTATTTTCTTCAGTTTGCAGTTGCCGTGNAAGCTGTGGCACTGCCCCACCCATTTTCCGGAAGCCCCGTCACCGAAAATCTTTCCTCTCCCCGCCAATCGTCTTTTCGGTGTGCCCTCTCCAAAACCCCCATTTTCCCGTTGTCGTTTGCTCACATTTCACCGCCCATTGAATTCCTAGGGTTTTTGTTGTTTGTTGAATTGGGATTGATTGGTGTTTTTCGGAGTTTTTAATAGGAAATTGATGGTTGGAGATTAATTGGGAGTGTTTTTTTTTGTGTTTTTGTTTGATTTTTGGGGATTTCTGATCGATTTTGGCATTGATGATTGATTTTCCAAGTTTTGGCACACCACTTGTTTGAGGTTTTGCCCCAAACCTTCTGTGCCTTGCGTGTCTTGGTTCTTTTTAGTGTTTGAGAGCGATTCTTTGGGATTTTTTGTATTGAATCTTTTGGTGATTTGAGTGAGGTTTTTTGGGGCTTTGGTCGTTTTTGCTGCTAGTTGTCCTGTGGTTCAGGCGAGAGATGAAGAAGATGAAGACAAGATTTTAATTAAAATTAATAAAAATAAAATAATTAAAATTGAGAAGAATTATTTTTATAAAATTAATATTAAAGAAAGAAATTGGGCAGAATGATATATTTTTTTGTTGGATATAAAATTACCATATTATCTTTTTTTTAACTAACTTTACTATCAGTTGGACGGAAGGTAGGTAATTGACTTTTTTCAATCTGTTTGGGTATCACATTGTTTTTATAGCAAACTATGGATGGGTATATATTGTTCGGCCTTGTTGAAAAAAAGGGTGTTATTGTCTAAAAATTTAAATAGTTAAAGGTAAAATTATAATAAAATTAAGATTATCAAGTAATCTTAAAATACTTAAGAAAATAACAGTATTCATATTACTACTTATATAATCAACAACAATTTTTAAAGATTACTAAAATCTTACAAGGGGAATAACCTCTAACCAAACAACCCCTCGTAATATTTGATTTGCTTTGTGAGGATCTTACATCATAAGGCTTACTTCCACAAGGAGGCCACCCTGCTCCAGCCTCCAGCTGGAAAGCTAGTGCTTTTTTCATTATTCTTTTTCTTGATCCTTCATCTTTATACTTTAGTGCAACGGTACATTTTCACCGTCCTTTACACCATTTTTATTACATTTATTAATAATAATTTTATTATAATATTAAAAATTTAAAATAATTAAAAATTTATGTGAATGTGACATATACCACATCATGATTTAATGAAAATAGTGTAATAAATAGTGTAAATGTAGCTATACTTTAAGTCTTTAACTTTATTTTTTATTGATGCTCAAATAATTGGAATATATTTGCCATTAAATTATTCGCAGTAGAGTAAGGATACCGAAAAAAAAAAAAATTAAAAATTAAAGTAAGGAATCGAATAATAAAATAATAAAGAATCGAAAAATATGCATGAGTTTATATTTAGGCGTATGCTTTGTTTTGGTTATTGTTTGATTGTCATCATCCTTACTTCTGATTTTTAAAGCAATCTCTTCATCCCTTTCCTCTCCACTTTCACTTAACCACTCAAAAATACTTCAACTCTGAAACCTCTCTCACCCCTTCAGAGACCACTAAAAATCCTGTTACTCTGAAACCAGATCGCTTGATTTTTCACTCCTCTCCCGTTCCTTTATTTCTTATTTATTGTTTTTAAAAATAAAAAAAATCCTTTCCCATTTTCTTATTTTTCGTTTAGGAAAAAGAACAAAAAGATCTTTATTTTATTCAGTTTGCAGTTGCCCTGTTACTTTTTCAGTTTTATTTTCTTCTGTTTTTTCCCCTTTTCCTTATTTTAAAAAAAAAAATTATTTCATCATTTTCAGTGTTTTTGTTCACTCCTCTTCCTTTGTTTGAGTTTGCATCATTGTTGTCTTGCTGTTATTTCTGAACTTTTCTTACCTTTTTTTTTTTTGTGTGTGTTTTTCAAATTTGAAAGTTTGCACCCTACTTGTCCTGTTTTTAAGTCTGTTTAATATCTTTTACTTTCTTTCTTTGTTTTTTCTTTTTTTTTTTTTTTTTTTAAAAAAAAGTGAAGGAGAAAGGAAAAAGTGTTGAAAATGGTGGAAACTATCTTAAGTGCTGTTGTGGAGGTTGTCAAGTGCTTGGCTGCTCCGATGGGGCGACAATTTATGTACTTGTACAAATACAACACCAACTTTAGCAATCTCCAAAAAGATGTTGAGGAGATGAAGCTTGCAAAAGACAAAGTTCAGCGTAAGGTTGATGCTGCTGAAAGAAATCTGGAAAAGATTGAAGAGACCGTGAAGAAGTGGCAGAACGAAGTGGATTCCAAAATTGATGAAGCAGAGAAGTTGATTCAAGCAAAAGAAAACAACCCGCGATGTTTCAAGGGATTGTGCCCCAACTGGATCACCCGCTACAAACATGGCAAGAAAGCATTCAAGTTAAAGGAGAATGGTATCAGTCAACTCCTAGATAAGAATAATTTTCCATTCCTACGGCTAGAAGATGAAGTTGCCCATCCTACTATTTCTCAGGAGATATGGCTTAGATCTACCAAAGATTATGTGGCTTTGGAATCAAGAACTTCCACTGAGAAGAATGTTTGGGATGCATTGAACGATGAGAGTATCTACATGATCGGTGTTTATGGGATGGGAGGTCTCGGCAAGACCACGCTTGTGCAGGGAGTTGGTAGGAAAGCCATGGAAGAACAACTCTTTGATGAGGTGGTTTTGATAGAAGTAACAGGAACTCCAAATATAGAGACCATTCAATCAAAAATTGCTAAAAAATTGGGTCTCAAATTGGATAAGGAGAGTGATGTAGCAGATAAGGCAAATAAGTTATATGAAAGATTGAAGATGACTAAGAAGGGTCAGAAGGATGAGAAGGGTAAGGAGGATGAGAAGGATATGAGGCCTGTGGAGATGAATAAGAAGGATGAGCAGGATGAGAAGGGTGACAAGGGTGACGAGGGTAAGAAGGATGAGAAGGATATGAGGCCTGTGAAGATTCTTTTGATTCTAGATAATATCTGGGAAGATCTTGATTTAGATGCTGTGGGAATTCCTTCCAAAGATGATCGTGGTGGATGTAAACTACTGCTCACAACAAGAAAACTTGAGGTGTTAAATAGCATGAATTCTTCCAAGAATTTCAAGATGGGTACTTTAAAAGAAGAAGAAGCTTGGAGCCTATTCCAGAAGATGGCAGGTAATTTAAGTTATAGAATTTTCACTTTTCTTCATATATTATATTTTTATTGAATTTCGTAATTTCTTTTTACTCGTACTATAGTCTTGGCCCTTCTACAAAATCTGTGTTATGGTTTCATGTGAATAAATAGAAAACTTAGACTATTAGTCTTAAGTAACGTTTAGACTAAAGGTTCAAACAAGTAACATTTTAAACTCGATTACTCATTACTCGATTGATATCAGTTGCCAGTTACCTGTTACCAACCTAACTAGTCTCCAAATTTTTACAAAAAGGTTAGGGCCTATAAAGGTTTTAGGATCGAATGAAAAGAGAAGCAGCAAGTTGCAAAACTTTCTAGAGAAACAAACAGAAAATGCAGAAAAAGTAACTAAGGAAACAAACAAGAACTTTGAGAGAAACTTTGGACACTTCCAGAACTGATTTCTTTTGTTAATTTTCCAACTTAGCTAACAAATGGTTCTTGAAACGTTTTTATACAAGTAAGAATCCACGCTGGCAATCCGTGTGACTCTTACAAATTTTGCAGAGAAACACAAAATGGTAGCTTCTCAACTGTTGATCAAATTTCCAGATTTTATAAAACTTCAGTTGAAGTACTGTAGCGTACTGTAGCATTAAAGTACTGTAGCTTTGCAAAGAAACACTAATCACTCAAGTAACTCATATTAACCATAGTCTCTGCCCAGCTAATGTAACTCATCTCAAGTAACTCTGCCCTCAATTAACCATAGTCTCAACATCCTCCCTCAAGCTAAGCAGTAAGAATTTGCTGCAAAAGCTTGCACACCGGAATTGCATCTCAATTAACCGTAGTCTCAACACGGCCATTAGACTGTAATAACTTCAATCTTTAACTTAATTTAAAATACTAATTAGTAACCATTCATAAATCATAATTTGTGTTGGAGAAGATGGGTTCCACAAAAAATATCGGAATGAACATTTTAATCGAAGAAGGAGCCTGGAGTCTATTCAAGAAAATGGTAGGTAATTGTTATAACTCATTTTAATTTGATAACACATCAAATTTGTGTTATGGTTTGATGTGAATAAGTAGTAATAACATGAAATATTTATAAATAAGTATAATTACTCTATTGATTGATAGAATAGTAGGTGGCTTAACAAGAAATCTAATTCCATATGCAGAAACAATACTTCTTTTTCCTGAGGGTCCTGAGCTAAATAATTCTGGTTTTTTAAAAACTGTAATTATTTTTCTTTTAAATTCGTAACCTATTTTTTTCTCTCTTTTTTTATTCATTTTTTAATCTGACTTTTTTAAAAAATAATCCAATAACCTTTTTTTTTTTCTTTCTCACTTTTAATTTCGTAATCTCCACTCCTATTCTTCAAACCCAACAATTACCAACCTAACCCACGCCGTGCCCCACCACAATCGGCAGCCATTGACAACCATCGTTGCACCCATTAGCCTCCCGTGCACCACCGCTGCACCTCCAAATCGTCGCCATCTCCTCCATTGCATCCACACCAGAGCCATCGCCATTGCATCCATAACACAACCATCGCCATTGCACCCACACCACAGCCCACCCTTTAGACCACCACTACAACAACCACAGCAAATCAGATGACAACCATGGCCGCATCCCTTGGCCTCCAGCGCACCACCACAACACGCAAAGTGCAGGAAACTTCCATTAGACCCAATCCACAGCACATCCCCATTGCAGCCACACCACAGCACATCCCCATTGCACCCACACCAACTTCACAAGATCCACAACGACACCATCCAAGTTTAAAACAAGCTGCCTAACCCAAATTGATGCATAAAAAAACCACCCAAGGTGTCGATGTTTGGGTTTGAAGGTGAAGCGGCCAGGAAGAAGAAAAGGGGATTTCGCTGCCCGTTGCTTGAGTTTTCTCGAGGCAGAGTGACAAAATTTAAAGAAGATAGGATTCTTGGGAATGGGGTGGTGGTGTGACGGTAAGAAGGAGTGAATGGGTTAGGAATAAGGTTTTTAGGATTTTATTTATCTTAATTAATACATTGTGTAAATACTTCTCTGCCCTTGACTCTAGTTTTTGAGGGTTTTATAGTGGCTGTCTGTCAACAGGGAATAATCGTTATTTCTAAAACCTCAAAGGGCTTGAGTGTTAACAGAAATCTCAGGGAATAATAGTTGTGGACCTAAACATGACTTTCTGACTTTAAATTTAAAGTATATTCATTAATATTTGAATTAGTTTTATTAGATGGCGTTAGTTAATTATTTTCAGCCTAAATTCACATTAATAAGAATTGACTTGGTAGCTTTATTTTACATTTCCTCATTTCTCATCATCTTATTTTTCTTTTCTATAAATATTGTCTTAAAGCTCTTGATAAGACAAAATGTATTTCTATGATTTTAGAGATGAAGAGTGGAAATGAATTTTATTTGGAATCAAGTGCAGTTTATTGAGATTTTCGAATATTTTTTATGGTTCTATTTAGAAAAAAGTCCAATAAGATAGCTAGAGGGAAAATAACAACACTTGGAACTTTTCTTGCTTCTAAACCAAAAGCATGTGAATAGTAAATGCAGTTAGTATAATCATAGCTTCTTTTGCAGGTAATGTTTTTCAAGCACCTGGATTGAATTCTTTACCAAAGGATGTATGCGAACAATGTAGAGGTTTGCCTATTGTCATTTGTACTATAGCAAAGGCATTAAGGACCAAAAGTCAAAAATCGCAATGGGAAGATGCTTTGCAAACACTAAGAAAGTCTTCCCCATCAAAGTTCCCAACACTTTTAGAAAAGGAATATTCAAACATTAAGTTGAGTTACGATTATTTAGAAAATAATGAGCTCAAGAAAACTTTAATAATTCTTAGTCTAATGGAAAACTATACTTCCATTTTAGACTTGCTCAAGAATATCATTGGCTTGGGTATACTTACAGGAGCTAATCTTACAATAGAAGAAGCACGGAATAGACTAGATTCAGTGGTCAAGGAACTCAAAGACTGTTGCTTGTTACTTGATGGTGGAATCGAAGGAAGATTTTCTATGCATGACGTTGTTCGCGTTGTTGCTTTAACATGTGCATATACAGATCACCATGTATTTACAGAGAGAAATGACATTGAAAATGAATGGAAGGATAAAGATAAACTTAGAGAATGCACAATGATCTCTTTAGTTGGTGATAATATTGTTACTAAACTTTGGCCTGAGGCATTAGATTGTCCAAAACTTGAATTTCTTACGGGTTCTTCTTTCGAAATCCCTAAGGAGTTTTTCACAGTGATGCCCAAGCTAAAAGTTTTAAATTTATGTGGAATACAACAATCGTTGTCGTCGTCACTTGATCTTCTAACAAACCTTCAAACATTGTGTTTAGATGATAGCGAAATTGAAGATATTGCTATTATCGGAAAGCTTAAGAAGCTAAAAGTCCTTAGCTTGCAAAATACTAATATTGAGGAGTTGTCTACAGAAATGGGTCAATTGACTGGGTTAAAGATTTTAGATTTGAGCAATTGTTGGCAATTAAAAGTTATTGCGCCAAATGTGATATCAAAACTATCCCAACTAGAAGAATTGTATATAAAGGGATGTAGTATTCAATGGAAGGGTGGAGTACTTGAGGAGTTGAAGCACTTATCTCAATTGACCAATTTAGAAATATATATTAAAGATAAGAAGATGATTCCTAAAGACTTCTATTCTAGAGAGCTTAAAAGGTGCAATATATCAATAGAAGATGAATTGTTCGATGATTATGATTGGTATCAATTTTCAAGAATCTTTAATTTTCAATATGATTTTACCGTCTCTTTAGAAGAATTACGAATTCTCAAGAATGTTGAACTCTTACGGTTGGTCGGATCCCTTCGTGATGATAACAGTCTCAAGCCACTTTTTAACAAAAAGGTTTGATTGACATTAACCTCTTGCACTTCTCTGTTATATATTCTTATATTTTATTATGCTTATTCTCATTTGTTAACACATAGTTTTGATATTGAATTATTTGTTCTTCTCTTTTTGCCTTTTTTTCTAGTGATTTTAATTTTCTGTTAAATTTCATTACTTTTTAGAGAGACAAAAGACACATTGTTTATATCAATGGCATATTCATCTATAAATCCATAAGAATCAATTTTTTTTTTTCTTTTCATATGCGTTCGTAAATATTGAAACAACAAATACTTTGATTGCAGGTTAATTTCACCAATTTGATGGCCTTGGAATTGAACAATGTTAGTTGTGGAAAGATTTGGGATAGCAAATTTCCTATGTCCTCCTCCTATGAGAATTTGACACGCTTTATCTTGGAGAGTTGTGGAAAAATAAAATATGTGTTTCCATCTTCCATTGCCAAAAGCCTCCAAACTCTACAAAGCCTTGAGATAAGAGATTGTGAGGTTTTAGAAGAGATTGTCGCACAAGAAGGAGGAGCAAAAGCTGCTGTAAATTTTCCCTTTCCGCAAGTTACCTATTTGAAGCTTGAGAATTTACCAAAACTTATAGCTTTCTATCCCGGAATACATACTTGTGAATGGCCGATGTTAAGAGAGTTGGTAATCAACGAATGTGGAAAATTCACTTCAAAATGTCTAAGCTTCCAAGAAAATTCATTTCATTTCTCAGAGCGAAAGTCCCTCTGCTTGGAGCGTAAGGTATGAGTCTCTTGTTTACTTCTTTATTAAAAAAGAAAAAAAAACCTTATATATAGAACATCTATTACAACTTAATAATTTGTTTTTTTAACATCTCTTTCTTTTTTTTAAACAAAAATTTAGGAAAAAGAAATAAAAATTAACAGTCAGTTGGATTTGGACAATTTTGTTATAGAGTCTTGTCAATAAAACTCATTAAAGTACTATGTTTAAATCATCCAGTATAATTCTATAAATTATCAAATGTTTACTAGAAATTATCATTATGATTTAATTTTCGGATATTATCAGTTGAAAACAACCTTTTGTTATTAATATTTTAAATTTGTGTTGGAAAAAAATATAGATATTATCAACTGGTACTTCCCCAAAACCAAAGTCATTCTACTCACAATTTGCGGCTGCCAAATCCCTCCTCTCACAACATTGCTAGCCTTGCAAGTGGTGCGCGGCTGGCCAAGGCCCCTGCTTAACTTTTTTTAATTATAAAATAATAAATCTTTCAATTATTATTATTTTATATAAATTTACTTTTCAACTAAAAATATTTTAAAGTTGTATAAAATTATACCCTTATACCCCTATAAAATGTTAAATCTAACTATCTCTAATAACATTTTATTCCTTTTTAAAACTATTTTGGAACTTGTTTTCTTTTTCTTATAGTTTGTAAAACATTATCCCTCAATTAATAGCAGTCCCTTTATTTTTACTAGAAATTGTGCCTAACAAGTGATCCTTCTTATGATTGGAAGCCAGATCACAAATTCAAAATTATTTAACATGATTTGGTAGCTGATGAGCAAAAAATCAGTTCAAAAAGGACAAAACTAAGTTAGTTACCATTAAATTTAAGAGGGAGAAAATTATAAGACATAGATACCCATATAATAATAGGGAGAATGACAAAAATGGACACCTTTTTACTATACACACCAAAAAACAGGCTAGTTTTGAAAACATGTTTAGTTTTCATAGGTTAGTAGGTCTTTTATGAAATTAATTTGACTAGTAAATTAAAGAATCATATGCAATTACCCTTTGTTCTTCTCACAGTTAATTTAAACCAATTTCAATGGTTCCATATTTAAAATTTATTTCTATTATTTTATAATGCAATTCATTGTATTGTCGTGTTTATAATATTAAAATTCAACTACAATATGATGTTTCAAATCTATTTTAAAATTTTGTAAGTGTGTTTGGAATTCAATTTGAAAACATTTCAACAGTATATTAAATAATTTTCTTTAATTATTAATTTCTCATACAATAATTTGTTAATTGTGAACCCAACTTTAATATTTCATCATCCACATTAACTATTAATTATTAATTGCCAAGGCCCGTGCGTAATTTACTATTGTTTTTTTTAGTCTTCTCTTCTTTTTTTGTATTTTTTTATTATTATAAAACTAATAAAAAAATAAATGTCCAGAGTCCAACTTATAGTTAGGATGGGCCGGTTTTGGATGTTAAAGAAGAAAAAATTGACATTTCATACCAAAAGGAAAGATTAAACAAGAATATTTCAAAAATAGAAGATAAAACTACAAAAACTTAAAAAAAAAAGCTAAACTTTTGGGTTTGGCCTATGACTTTTGAGCCAATAACTAAACTTTTGTTTTAAGTATATAATTAAAAAGCTAATCAGATTTTGTTTTTGATGGATTTGTAGATCAATCACGATTTGGAGGCACTTGAATTAAGGAATGGTGGGGAAGGGATTGTATGGCAAAGTCAATCTAAAGCTCTTATGATCGAAGGTGATGAGTTAGCAAATACTCCACTCCGATTCCTTCAAAGATTTGAAAACATGAAAGAGCTCAAACTATCTAGATGTGGTCAATACAAAGAGCTATTCTTTCAAAATCTTCCAAATCTTGAAGTTCTAGATGTACAGGATTGTAGCAAATTGATGAATCTAGTGTCATCCTCCTTAGCTTCTTTCCAGAATTTTAAAGTTTTGAAAGTCGACAATTGCCATGAGTTGATGGAGTTAATAACACCTTCAACAACTAGAAGCTTTATCTTGAAGAGATGTGGAAAAATAAAATATGTGTTTCCATCTTCCATTGCCAAAAGCCTCCAGGCTCTACAACACCTTGAGATACAGGATTGTGAGGTTTTAGAGGAGATTGTTGTGGAAGAAGAAGGAGCAAAAGCTGCTGTAAATTTTCCCTTCCCGCAAGTTACCTATTTGAAGCTTGAGAATTTACCAAAACTTATAGCTTTCTATCCTGGAATACATACTTGTGAATGGCCGATGTTAAGAGAGTTGGTGATCAACGAATGTGGAAAATTCACTTCAAAATGTCTAAGCTTTCAAGAAAATTCATTTCATTTCTCAGAGCGAAAGTCCCTCTGCTTGGAGCATAAGGTATGAGTCTCTTGTTTACTTCTTTATTGAAAAAGAAAAAAAAAAACCTTCATTTTATATATATTACATAAATTAGAACTTAATAATGTGATTTTTAACATCTCTTTTTTTTTTTTTTAACAATAATTTAGAAAAAAGAAATAAATGTTAATGGTTAGTTGGATTTGGACAATTTTGTTACTGGAGTCTTGTCTATTAAACTCATTAAAGGAATATGTTAAAATCATCCAATATAATTCTATAAATTATCAAAAGTTTACTAGAAATTATAAATATGATTTTATTTTCGGATATTATCAATTGAAAACAACCTTTTGTTATTAATATTTTAAGTTTGTATTGGAGAAGATATAAATATTATCAACTGATACTTCCCCCAAACCAAAGTCATTCTTCTCACAATTTGCAGCTGCCAATTCCCTCCTCTCACAACATGGCTGGCCTTGCAAGTGGTGCGAGGCTGCCCAAGGCCCCTGTTTAATTTAACTTTTTTTTAAAAAAAAAAAAAAAAGATTGTTATAAAGATAATAATTTTTTAATTATATAAAAATTTACCTTTTTGCTGAAAATATTTTAAAGTTGTATAAAATTATACCCTACAAAATGTTAAATCTAACTATCTCTAATAACATTTTTGGAACATGTTTTCTTTTTCTTATAGTTTCGTAAAACATTATTTAGAATCATTATACAAAACATTTGCAACTTGAAGTTGAAAGCCTAGGACATTATTTAACATGATGAGCAAAAAATCAGTTCAAAAATGACAAAAATAAGTTAGTTACCATTAAATTTAAGAGAGAGAAAATAATAAGACATAAATACCCATGTAATAATAGGGAGAATGAAAAAAATAGACACCACAGGCCGAAAAAAAAAGACAGGTTTGATTCAAATATGTTTAGCTTTCATAGGGTAGTAGTGTCTTTTATTAAATTAATTTGACTAATAAAGTAAACAATTACATGCAATTACCCCGTGTCCTTCTCACAGTTAACTTAAACCAATTTATGGTTCCATATTTCAAATTTAATTTCTATAATATTATAATGCAATTCATTGTATTATCGTATTTATAAGATTAAAATACAGCTACTATATCATGTTTCAAAACTATTTTAAAATTTTGTAAGTGTGTTTGGAATTCAATTTGAAAACATCTCAAGAGTATATTAAATAATTTTCTTTAATTACTAATTTCTTATACAACAATTTATTAACTGGGAACCCAACTTTAATAGTTTATCATCAACTTTGATTATTAATTATTAATTGCCAAGGCCTGTGCCTAATTTACAATTGTTGTTTTTAGTTTTCTTTTTCTTTTTTTCTTTTTTTTTGTATTTTTGTATTTTTTTTAATTATTATAAAACTAATAAAAAAATAAATGTCCAAAGTCCAACATATAGTTAGGATGTTAAAGAGGATAAAAATGACATTTCATACCAAAAGAAAGATTAAGCAAGAATATTTCAAAAATAGAAGATAAAACTTGCTAGAAAAACTTAAAAAAAAAAAAATTAAAAAGAAAAAAGAAAAATTAGAAAATACTGTATAAAGTAAAAAAATATTTATAAAATCTGAAATTATATATTTAAAGTTGTGACCATTGAATACTAAATTTGAAAATTCAAATAATAGAAATTTAGAAGAAAAAAACTCTTTAAGAAATTTATATTAATTTAATTTCTATGACTATTTAAAAAAAATTATAAATTATTCTCAACATATTTGTTCCTATTCTTAAATTAGTCAGGTTGCAAAAAATCTAAAGGTAACTTTGTATTTACATAGGTCAAACACTATAAAATTCCTAATTTAATAGACAATAGGAGGAGGTGAATATTGTAGTTTTTGGTTTCAGGGGGCGTAGTTGGTAAAATCACATAAATGAAACATTTGTTCACAAATTAAAATTTAAAATATGATTTACTAGTTTTAAAATAGATGGTAGTTGATTTGTCAAAATTTGATTGGGTTTAGCCTATGACTTTTGAGCCAATAACTAAACTTTTGTTTTAAGTATATAGTTAAAAAGCTAATTGGATTTTGTTTTTGATGGATCTGTAGATCAATCTTGATTTGGAGGTGCTTGAATTAAGGAATGGTGGGAAAGAGATTACATGGAAGAGTAAAGCTCTTATGATCAAAGGTGTTGAGTTAGCAAATATTCCACTCCGATTCCTTCAAAGATCTGAAAATCTGAAAGAGCTCAAACTAAAAGACAATATGTATAATGAGCTATTCTTTCCAACTCTTCTAAATCTTGAAGTTCTAGATATAAGTTGCTGTCATAGATTGATGCAGTTAATAACACCTTTAATGGCTAAAAGCTTAGTGCAGTTGAGAGAAATGAGTGTAAAGAATTGTGGAATGCTGATTGAAATAGTAGAAAATAAGGGAGATGCAACAACGAGTACTGAAATTGTTTTTAACAATTTGAAGACGTTGTCACTTGATAACTTAGAAAGTCTCACATGCTTTTGCTCTGGAAATTATTCTTTCAATTTCCCATTTTTGGAAGAGTTAAATATAAGAAAATGCCCTAGTATGAAGACTTTCTCTCGAGGAATCTTAAGTACACCAAAGTTATACGAAGTCAGAAAGGACAACGAGCTTAATACACCCATACAACAAGCACACGAAGAAAAGGTATATGTATTCAATTAATTAGTTTAAATATTTATTTTGTAATAATATTGAAAGTGAGTTCATACTCCCACCTCTTGTTCCTTTCAACACCTCTTATGATCTTTTGGTCTTTCTAGGTGTCTTTTGCTCTCGTAGTACATAACCTACCTAAAACCGTTGTGCAAACCCTAAATCAAGGATCTTATGTCATGAGCATGGACTTCCATCCACAGCAGCAAACTATTCTTCTAGGTAAAAAATTAGAAAAAAAACCACTGTTTAATGTTTGTTCACTGAAAAATTTATAGAACTTTTTCTAGAGATTATTTATATTGATTGAAATTTTTATTCTTCGGTCCATAGTGGGGACAAATATTGGTGACATTAGCCTTTGGGAGGTGGGATCCCGAGAAAGGCTGGCACATAGAACTTTCAAGGTTTGGGATATATCAGCTACTTCAATGCCATTGCAGGTATTCACCATCTTAACTTCCTAAGAGTACAATGCATAAAATCTTCATCCTTTATCAATTTGATCTTGGCAATGAATTTAATAACAATGGGTAGTAACTCATATGTATTCACCTAATACTTATGAAAGTTGGATTCAGTGTACTTTCTGGCTTGACTGGCAAACACTTTCATATTAATCACGGCCAACAATTTAGGAATATAAATATGGACTGATATTTCTCTTCATTAATTAACTTGTACTACAAGGAGGCTTTGTTGAATGATGCTACAATACGGGTGAATCGGTGTGTTTGGAGGCCAGATGGACTTATGCTTGGTATGTATATGCATTTGTTGCTTGTGAATATGAATTATTCCTAGTTCATTATATTTATTTTTTCTTTAAACAAATTGTGATTTGTCTAGGTGTTGCATTTTCCAAACATATAGTTCAGATATATACTTACAATGCAACTGGAGAACTAAGACAACACTTAGAGGTAAATTTTGTATCCTAAATATCAGTTCTTCCTTAAAAATCGCTAGGTACAGTTTATTGACCACTTATCTCATTTTAGATCGATGCCCATGTTGGTGGAGTTAATGACATTGCGTTTGCTCATCCCAACAAGCAACTGTGTATAGTTACATGTGGAGATGATAAGACTATTAAGGTATTATCATAAGAGGGTGTGACCTGCTTCTCTAGGGAAAACCTAATTGATATATCCTCGTTGTAACTTTCTCCCTATTAAAGAGTTTGACTTTTTGGGATATTAGAGTAAGTTTCTCCTGTGACAGGTATGGGATGCTGTAGCTGGACGCAGGCAGTATACATTTGAAGGCCATGAAGCTCCTGTGTATTCAGTCTGCCCTTACCACAAAGAAAATATTCAGGTCAATATTTATTTAACTCATCTATGTTGTGATTGGTGATCTGAGTCAGTATCTTTTTCTATATGCTAACTAGCTGATGGGAATAAGATGACTACCATCACTTTGAATCTCATATTATCCATTTTCCTATCTTTAAATATGCAGTTTATTTTCTCTACCGCCATTGATGGAACGATAAAATATTGGCTATATGATTGCTTGCGATCTAGAGTGGACTATGACGCTCCTGGACGCTATTGCACCATGATGGCATATAGTGCGGACGGAACCAGGTAAAGCTTGGTTAATTTTAAGATGGACACAGGCTAAGATAATTTGGTGATTTTTCATATTGTTTGTGCACATGATACTTTATATAATGACTCATTGAAGTTTCTGATAATATCTTGTTTTACAAAGGATGTATATCATTTAGCTGCCAAGGATTCTTTGATGCTGGACTTTTTAGGCACTTCTCTGCCTTTGATGTGCCATTAATTTGTAATCGTGCTTTCATCATCCAAATGGAATAAGACTTCTATATTTTTTGTTGCAGGCTCTTCTCATGCGGAACAAGTGAAGAAAGCTATTCTTATTTAGTTGAGTGGAATGAGAGTGAAGGAGCTATCAAAAGGACATATCATGGTTTAAGAGAGAGCTCTTTAGGCGTTGTCCAGTTTGATACAACACGGAATCGGTTCTTGGCTGCTGGGGATGAATTTCAAATTAAGTTCTGGGATATGGACAATAAAAATATGTTGACGGCTGTTGATGCTGATGGTGGATTGCCGGTTTGTAGTCGTACTGTTTACTTGTACACCAATGGTAGTTAATAGTAGATACGTAGCATTTGTTCATTCAATTCCATCCTTTGCAGGGTTGTCCTAGACTGAGATTCAATAAGGAAGGATCTCTGCTCGCAGTTACAACGAGTGACAATGGTATCAAAATTTTAGCCAACAGTGATGGTTTTGTATCTATCAACAGTCTTGTAAGTTTAGCATTTCTTATACAATGAAGTTGTTGGTGCTTACCTTGGTCCACAAACTCATACCGAGTGCCGCTGCAGGGTCCTATGGACAGCAGCAGACTTGTTGATGTCAAACCATGTATTGCCGACGATAGAGACAAGGTTAAGAGCTGGAACATTCGTGATGTTTCAGATCCATCACAGATGAAAGCTCTGCGCTTACCTGATTCTATAGCACCAAGCAAGGTAGGTGGTAAAGAATTCAAGTATTTGCGTGTTATTTCAGTTAGGAAGAAATCCCTCTGCTTCTATGGTGCTAGATATTTTCTTTGTAGTTATTTACTGCCCTTTGTGTGCCTGTGCTCATATATGAGATATTTCACTATTATAAAGCTATGCAAATCATATGCAAATATATCCTTCGTTAATATACCAACCGTATATTCTAAAGAATTGGATGCATAGTGACAGGAACTCCAGAATGTTAAGTCAAATGCTGGAAGGCTAGTTTAAACCTATTTGTCTGATGTGTTAACCTTTCTTTCGAATATTTCCCTTCCTTTTTTAAATATCTTGACATGCCCCTGAGGATGATGGTATGTGGACTGCCAATTCACATGGTAATGCCACCTCAGTTGTGAAGTTAGGGCATAATACACCCTCTCTGCATGGTAGTGCTTGTTTCATCGATAACAAAGTAGGAGAGGACTGACGATATAAATATAAACTAAGTGACTCTTTACAAAAAGACACAGAAGAAATGATATCAAGTTCATCACAAAAGCTTAATACCAATCAATATCTAATTAGCCAAATAAAACATTATCCACAAATGGTGTGAAATACATTGATAATTTTCCCTCCATTTAGGCCTGGGAAAAAATATATATGTTTTTTCTATTTTGTTGCAAATGTTTATTGTTGGATTTAAGTACATAAGTAAAAAAAATTCAGGTTGTTCGGTTGATCTACACCAACTCTGGTCAAGCTCTATTGGCCCTTACCGCCAGCGCTGTACACAAGCTGTGGAAATGGCATCGTAGTGAAAGGGATCTCTTGGGGAAGGTTTATTTACTATCCATTTGCAAATTTCTTTTGTTTTTTATATTTTGACCTTTCTAATGTCTGTTGCAAACTCGTCAGGCTACGGCATACGTAGTGCCCCAGTTGTGGCAACCTCCCAGTGAAACACTTATGACAAATGACATAAATGATGTAAAAACAGCCGAAGAATCTGCTGCATGCATTGCTTTATCCAAAAATGATTCTTACATTATGTCTGCCTCTGGTGGAAAGGTTTCCTTGTTCAACAGGAGGACATTCAAGGTAAGTTATTGCACCTCTCCAAATTTGAACTCTGTATTTCATACACGTTCAACAATATTTACATGACCGAATAAGATTGCTTACTGTGTCTCAGGTCATGGCAAAGTTTATGCCCCCACCTCCAGCAGCTACATATTTGGCATTCTATCCTCAAGATAATAATATTATTGCCATTGGAATGGAGGATTCTACCATTCAGATATACAATGTCAGAGTTGATGAGGTGAAGTTTCTCAGTTGATTTGTTGTTTTCTTAATTTATGGAGCTAGTTTTATGTTTAACTGGTCAAAGGATCTGTTCAATTGAATTTTGCTCCATTTATTGCTAGTGTTAATTTATAGTTGATTACGATGATATTTTGAGATTGTTAATGTAAATTTTATTCTGGTTTGGCTGAATCATTACCTATACCATACAATCTGATTTATGCTTCTTAGCTCTGTTCATTAGAGGGAAAGTCTTGTTGTTACTAACTTGTTTTAAGGAATTGATGGTTAGTATTATTACCACTGAAATCATTTTTCCATTTATTTATTTTTGAAACGAAACATATCATCTTCTTGAACACACAGAGATGCAACAAAAGTACAAAAATGCAAACATGAGTCCACCACAATAGAAAAAACCTCCTCAAAAATTGTCAAAGCTCAAGTATAGCTATCTTAATAATCTAATCAATAACTTTTTTGATTATCTAAAGCTTATTGTGTGACATATAATGTGGAAGCATAGCTAATGTTGGATGTTGTTTGCAGGTCAAAACCAAACTTAAGGGTCACCAAAATCAAATCACAGGGCTTGCATTTTCCCAAACTTTAAATGCACTGGTGTCTTCAGGGGCTGATGCTCAGGTTAGTTCCTGACTAATATAAAATTTAATATTTTAATGTTTATGGCTATTAGTTGTTCTTACTTATGTTTAATTGGGATGCTATAATTTTTTTGTCAAGAGTAAGAAACCTAGCACATTTACACCACTAAGGGTTTGCTCTACGAACTTTTGCTTATCTGGGGAGCAAATTACTTTCTTTGAAATGGAAGTCGCAATTTGCTATTAATCTTAAGTCATTTAGGGTAATTAATGTCTGCATATGATGAGCCTTTTCTTTGGTAAAATTTCAAACCATAGTTGAATTACCATGTAAATATAGTCTTTTTGGATGTTACCTTCTCAGCAATGGGTGTTGAGAAGTGCCCAAATATAAGCTGTTCACGTTGGAATAGGTGCGGTTGAAGAATCAAATTGTTTTGACGGGATCTCTAATGTGAAGATCTTTCCACGAAAATGCTCTTTTAGAATTATTTTTGAACATCAATCTGGTTATCTTGGTTAGTGTCATAGCTTAAATACCATTATTGGGCTCTTATCTATTAGCTGAAGCTTTTGATATGGCTTTTAGATCACGTGGTTATTTAACATGATATCATGCCAAGCAAGCCAAGTAATTTGAGTTCAAATCCGTTAGCTGTAATGTTAATTCAAAAAAAGTTGTGGGTAGGAAAAAAATATATAAGTTATTTAGGATTTACAAGTGAAACCAAGAAAGGAAAATATTATATTTCCAGCGTTGCTAATCACTTACTACACTGAAAAGAATAGTTAATTATACATGAGGAAAGACTCTAATTTACTACACTGAAGCTTTTTCTTTTTTGTTATCTCTGGGTTTTTGATTTCCGTTAATAATTTATTTGATGCAGCTATGTATGTGGAGTACCTATATATGGGTGAAGCTGAAATCAAGGTTCATACAAGCACCAGCTGGCCGTCAATCACCTTTGGTCGGAGAAACTAAAGTCCAGTTTCATAATGATCAAAAACATCTGTTGGTGGTTCATGATAGCCAAATTTCCATTTATGACAGCAAGCTAGAATGTTCACGTTCAGTAAGTTTTGCTTCCATGTCATCGTGTTTTTTTTTTCTTCAGTTCTCTCTCTCTCTCTCTCTCTCTCTCTCTCTCTAAATAAACTTACTGACCATGATCTCATTTCTAATAGTGTGGAAACGTAGCGTCACAATAATTAAGGACAATGAGACCCAAATCACATATTGTTGTTAGCAAAAAAGATTTAGTTATGTAGCTTATTATCATTATTGTTCTCTTTCCACCTTGACTCGCTAGAGTAAAGTTTACTACTTCAATGCTTTTTTATGGATAGCATGTTAGAAGCCTTGGCCTAGTGTGTAGCTTATCTATCTGAGCTCTTTCTTGAAAGATTTATTGATGGTGCTGCATACATGTTCGGCAAATCTTACTATTTCTTTTACATTTCCAAGTAAATGGAGAATTAATAAGATGTTTTAATGTAAGAGGTTAAACCAGTCAATGTGAAATTTCATGAATACTGGCTCATTTGTATATGTTGTATCCATATAATTTATTTTCACGTGTTATTTTTCAATCTCTCTTATAATGGTCCTTATGCTATGATTTTGTAACTTGTAGTGGTCTCCAAAAGATACACTCCCTGCTCCCATTTCAAGTGCCATATATTCATGTGATGGTTTACTGGTGTATGCCGGTTTTTGTGACGGTGCTGTGGGTGTTTTTGATGCGGATAATTTAAGGCTCAGATGTAGAATAGCAGCATCTGCTTACATACCTTCCTTCTCTGTCAAGTAAGTGGACCTTTTATTTGGCTAGTTCTGAACATTCAGTTATTATATATAAACCAGTTCAGATGTTTCAAGGCATTTTTTGTATATTTCATTGTATCAAAATGTCAAAGCCCATAAAATCCATCACTCATTGACGATATATATTCTGCAGCAGCAATGCTACCACCTATCCTTTTGTCATAGCAGCTCATCCATCCGAGCCTAATCAGATCGCTCTTGGCATGAGTGACGGAGCAGTGCATGTAGTCGAGCCTTCTGATGCAGAGCTGAAGTGGGGTGACACATTGACCTTTTTTGAACATCAGCCTTTTCGCTTGTTTGGCTCTGATCACTTCCTCTAAATCATGGCCTGCTATATCTGTTGTAAACCGTTTTTCTCGTCGGCTGTTTTGCTACGTGATATTCTAGAGAGGAACATTTTATCAGAAACTGAGAACACACCCTGCCACAAGCTGATTTGATGACATTTAGAAGGTTTTCCTATATGATGATGTATACATTAATGGTTTTTGGAATGAAAATTGTCATTGTTGTCATGTCTGTCTGTTTATATAGTAAAAAACCAGCCTTTTGTTTTATTTATTTTGGGCTGTTCCACTATAAAGATGTTTAATTTATACTTGCACTTCTCCCCTTCCCAATAGGCTTTATGTTTTTGTACAGTAAAAATTCTATTCAAGTTTTTCATATTTGTTATGGTGCATTGATTTATTTCTTATTCCTCGGAAGCTTAGTTTTATTTGATTTTTTTCAAATTTAAGATCCTGATTCCTGATGTCACATTACTAAATTACCCTTGTGGATAATTAAATTCCGTGTGAATAAAATGATTTTCATTTTACTGGAAGTAGAAATGATAATAAAATTGAAGAAAATGGTTATGGTTTGTGATAAAAAAAGTAAAACCTTATCCCTTTGATGGAATTTTATTCTCATTAAGAGTTTATATATGGAAATGTTAGTTTTATCGTCCTTCATAAATATGAAAGTATCAAACATCGTAATGGTCTCTGTTGATATAACAAGGTTGACAAAAATTTGTGAAATTATAAAAAATTGTTATAATTATTCTACTTGATCTTCTTCATAAAATTCAAAATGATTTAAACGGCATAATTAGTAGATGAAGAGTCTTTGGAATTGATTTTAAAGGAATGTAAAACTAAAAAATTGTTCCTTTTTTTCATCAGTTTTAACATCTAGTGTTAAGGACCATCGAAAATACTAAAGGTTGTGCTCTTTTAAACCCGCTGGAAGGATTGATTCAGTCTCTTAAGAAAGATAGTTCTATTTCTTTATTTTTACACGAAGATTTGCGTTATTGGGAAATTCTTTAATAAGAATGAATTCTGATATGATTTCATAATCAAACTTACAAATCAATCACTATGAATTGATTGTACAGTACACATCTGAAAAGACAATCTTGGTCCCTCTCAGCTTATGAATTTGGTCTCATTGAGATTTTCTATTAGCACTAAATTGAATACTTTTAAGTAAGATTAATTGAGTCTAGTCCTCCCTTTTCTATGTCCCGTCGACATAATATTTAATTTATATAATGATAATATATGATCAAATTAATCAATGAAATTAAAGGTAGTGGGAAGATTTTATTTAGGTTAAAAGATCTATATATATTTGTTCTTTTTATTTTTCTCAAATTGAAAAATCAAACGAAGTGAAAAAGGATTGTCATAAGTATTTTCAACATTAGACAATTAATTAAAAGAGTCTTTGCAGTTGATTTTAAAGTAATATTCTCCAACACGAGCAAATGGTTGTAATTGACAGAACAAATTTTGAGTTAAAATTAATTGACCTAATCTGTTACTTTCGATTACATCTCTATTTATTGCTCTGCCCTCATTGAATTTTCACCACAAATTCCATGGATAATAATCTTGGGCCAATCTCAAGATTATTAATAAGGTCAATGGTCAATTCTACCACATCAAACTTTGTTTTTGGTATTGTTGCTTTTTAAAAGTTGTGTTTTGGTTTGGGTGTCCAAGTAACTTCATATTCTTTGTCTTTATACTCCATCAAGAAACGCTTGGTTTGGTGTCCAAGTAACTTCATATTCTGATTGTCTTTATTTTCTTCTGTTTTTTTTTCCCTTTTCCTTATTTATTTAAAAAAATATATTATTTCAGCATTTTCCGTTACTCTTGTCCTGTTATTTGAGTTATAACTTGTAAATTAATAAAGAATCGAATCGTCCATTGAAGTATGCTTGAGTTTATAGTTAGGCATATTCTTTATGCATAGATCCTAACTTTGTTTTTGGGTAAGTATTTTCAACAATAACTTAAAAGAGTCTTTGCAATTGATTTTAAAGTGAGATTTTCCAACAAGAGTAAATGGTTGTAATTGAAAGAATAAATTTTGAGTTAAAATTACTTTTCCAAGTCTATTACTTTCAATAATCGATCTACTTATTTCTCTACCCTCATTGAATTTTCACCACAAATTCCATGGATGATGATAATCTTGGGCCAACCTCAAGACTATTAATCAGGTCAATGGTCAATTTTACTGCATCAAACTTTGTTTTACTTTAATATATGAGGATAGTCTCGGGTAATTTTTTTAAGTTCAAGGGTATTTATGTCCTAAAAATTTAGCATATGAGGATAAAATAGTCCATTAAAATTTTTGTAAATTGTTTTTTAAAAAAAAAGGCATTATTGTCCAAAATTTTTAATAGTCAAAGGTAAAATTATAACAAAATTAAGATTATTAAATAATCTTAAAATACTTAAGAAAATAAAAGTATTCAGATTACTACTTATATAATCAACAGTAATTACTATTAATTTTTAAAAGATTACTGAAATCTTATATTACTTTAATAATGGAAATAACCTCTGACCAAACAACCCCTCATAATATTTGATTTGTTTTGTAAGGATCTTACATCATAAGGCTTACTTCCATAAGGAGGCCACTCTGCTCCAGCCTACAGCTGGAAAGCTAGTGCTTTTTTCATTATTCTTTTTCTTGATCCTTCATCTTTATACTTTAAGTCTTTAACTTTATTTTTTATTGATGCTCAAATAATTGGAATATATTTGCCACTAGTGTACTAATAAATGGCACTGTTTGCTTTTAAGTGTTGTCACACCTTAGATCCTCTTAATTTCTATTCCGATTTCTACATCTTCAATCTTCTATTTGAAATTTGTTAACCTTCTTTAAAATGATGAGCAAGAAATTTAAAGTATTTCATTAACATAGTTTTAGACTAATTCTTTATATTGAATTAGTTTTAATAGATACATTAGTTAATTATAGTGCTTAGTGCAACTCCTATTATACAAACGGTCTTAAAGCTCTTGATAAGACAATTTTAGAGATGAAGAGTGGAAAGGAATACTATTTGGAATTAAGTGCAGTTTATTTTTATTTTCAAATATTTTTTTATGGTTTTATTTAGAAAAGAGTCAAATAAGATAGCTAGAGGGAAAATAACAACACTTGGAACTTTTCTTGTTTTTAAATCCAAAGCATGTAAGAGTCAATGCAATTAGTATAATCCTACCTTCCTGTGTAGGTGGTGTAATTCAAACCCGTGAATTGAATTCTTTGCCACAAGATGTATGTGAGGAATGTGGACGTTTGCCTATTGCATTTGTACTATAGCAAAAGCATTAAGAACAAGAGTCGTCCATCTGATTGGAAAGTTGCCTTGCGAGATTTAGGCACCTTCACCGGCAAAGTTCTAGGATTACTGGAAAAGGAATACACGAAATGGCTTGAGTTACAAATATTTAAGAGATGATGAGCTCAAGAAAACCTTTTTAATTTCTAGTCTAATAGAAAATAATACTTCCATTTCAGACTTTTCATACATGTTGTGGAATTGGATATATCTGAAGGAGCTAACCTGAAAATGGAAGACGCAAGAGATAGATTAGATAAATGGTTCGTGACCTGAAGACTCTTGTTTTTAACTGACGGCTTCACGAGCGAACTTTGCTTGCATGATGTTGTTCGTGCTGTTGCTATTACGATATCTTATACAGACCACCAGTATTTACAGGGAGAAATGATGTTGAAGGGAATGGAAGGATAAAGATAAACTCAAGAAATGCACAAATCTCCTTAACTGATAGTATACTTTTATTAGTAAGTTACGGCTTAGATCTGGACTGTCCAAATCTTGAATATTCTATGGTTCCCCTGCTTCTTTCAAAATCCCTGAGAAATTTTTCACAGTGATGCCAAAGCTCAAAGTTTTAAATTTATTGAAGTGCGGCAATCGTTGTTGTTGTCGTCACTTGATCTTCTAACAAATCTTCGAACTTTGTGTTTAAATAATAGCAACATCGAAATGTTGCTATTTTCGGAATGCTAAAGAAGCTAAAAGTTCTTAGCTTGCGAAATTCATCTATTAAAGAATTGCCAAAAGATTGGGTCAATTAACTCAACTAAGGTTATTGGATTTAAGCAATTGTTGGCAATTAAAAGTTATTGTGCCAAATGTGATATCAAAATTATCCCAACTAGAAGAATTGTATATGAAGGATGCTTTATTCAGTGGACAGTTGAATTACTCAAGGAATGAAGCTCTTGTCTGAATTGGCCAGTTTAGAATTAGATTGAAGATAATAAGATATTGCTTGAAGACTTTTTCCAAAGAGCTTAAAAGGTACAAAATATCAGTAGGAGATTGTTTTTTTAAACGTTATATGGTAGATACGAAGATGAGCGTTTGATGATGTTCGAATTGGAACTTAATTCTACCATCTCCTTGGAAGAATTACGAGGAATCAGGAATGTTAAACTCTTACGTGTAGCCAATTTTTCAGATGTTGAGAATAGTTTTAATGATTTGTCACTCTCACGCCAATTTTAATGAAAAGGTTTGATTGACTATAACTTCTTGTACTTGTCTATTATAATATTCTTATTTTCTTCTCTTATTCCTTTCTCATTTGTTAACACATAGTTATCGTGTTGATTTGTTTCTTCTCTTTTTTTGCACTTTTTTATGGTAATTTACATATTCAGTTAAATTCACTAGTAAATACTTTTCTTTCAATCTCGATACTGCATAATTATGTCGAATTGGTTTCATTATTCATGCTTGATTCATGATGAAATTTATTGAGAAAAAAAAAAAACAGATCATAATTATTAATGGCATGTCATCTATAAATCCATAAAATAAATTATTTCTTTTTTAAATTTATCTCATATGAGTTCGTAAATATGAAACAACAAGTACTTTGATTGCAGGTTATTTTCACCAATTTGATGCCTTAGAATTGAAGAATATTAGTTGTGGAAAGATTTGGATAGCAAATTTCCAACACATATGTCCTCCCCCTATCAGATTTTGACGCTTTTATCTTGGAGAGATGTGGAAAATAAAATATGTGTTTCCATCTTCCATTGCCAAAAGGCTGGAAGCTCTACAATACCTTGAGATAAAGGATTGTGAGGTTTTAGAGGAGATTGTTGCGGAAGAAGGAGCAAAAGCTGCTATTAATTTTGCCTTTCCGCAGGTTACCTATTTGAAGCTTGAGAATTACCAAAACTTAAAGGTTTCTATCTTGGAATACATACTTGTGAATGGCCAATGTTAAAAAGTTGGTGATCAATGAATGTGGAAAATTCACTTCAAAATGTCTAAGCTTCCAAGAAAATTCATTTCATATTCCAGAGCCAAAGTCCCCCTGCTCAGAGCG